TACAGTGCATATGTTTGTTGTATCTCCTAAATATTTTTTAATCTATAACAGAATTTTCTAAATCTTGGATTTGGGTATTTTTATCTTTGTGGTGTTGTATTACTTGTTTTTTAATTGTATTTTCTGTAAATGGATGTTTTAATGAAAATCTATTTAGAGACCACATCTGGGGGCTAGGTGTGCTCATTACTATTAGATGTCATTGCTCTTAGGCATTTTCAGTGAAATACATACTTTCACAAAGAAAGACAAATTATGAGTTTATACTGATATTTCTATTTCAAACTTAATATTAAGATTTATACTGAACTTTGATTTTATACTTGTATCTCTTTTTCTCTTATGCTAAACATTTGTTTCTTAATACATTAATTTACTTATTTTTTTATTGCACAGTATACTTACAATATTACTACTAATGAAGTTTTTTTGTAGTTCTTTTTGTTTATATCCCATTAGGGATGTATAGTCAAAATATCGTCTTTTTCAGTACTGAAGGAATTTCCTTCTCTGTCCTACTGGCTTCTTACACAGGAATCTATAAGGAGGAAAGTACTTAATTCAATGGTATGATTAAAGGTGAAAATCCATGGGCTCTAAGTAGAAGTGTATTTTCATGAGGCGTACTGTTTGATGAGCTGAATAAGTGGAGATTGTGATGCCAGCTACTTACTGAAATTGCTCTGCTTGTTCCAGTTAACAACCTGTGGGGGCTTTGAAATATGCCCACAAGTTCTTTAACACTCTTCCCTTCCAAAGGTGAAGCCTGATTCCCCTCCCCAGGAGTGTGGGCTGGAGTTTCAGTGACTTCTAACAAATAGGAAGGGTATGGCAGAAGTGACAATATGTGATTTTTGAGTCTAGGTTAAAAGGTATGATAGCTTCTTGTTCTCTTTCCTGGTTCATTAACTCTGGGGAAAGCCAGATGTCATATGTGTGGACACTCAGGCAGCTTTATGGGGAGGTCCACATGGCCTCCTGACCACAGCCATGTGAGTGAGCCATCTTAGAAACAGATCCTCCAGCCCCAGTGAAGCTTTCAGATGATTGTATCTCCAGCCAACCTCTTGACTCTGAGCTCATAAGAAACCCTGAGACAGAACCACCTACCTACATTACTTGCAAATTCCTGACCCACAGAAACTATCAGATTATAAATATTTATTATTGTTGTTTTGTTTTGTTTTTTGTTTTTTAAAGATTTTTATTGGGGAATTGGGGGAAGGGGAACAGACAACTTGCTGTCCTTTTGTTCTTCAGTCTAGTTGTGGACGACGTTGCTTCACTGGCCCAAGTTGGCACCATCATTGCGCTCTTCCCTGGCAAGGCAGATCAGTCGCCGGCTTCTGGACGGCTGCTCACTGCAGCTGCTGGCCGCTCACTCTGGCTGCTGGCTACACAGGGTAGCCCATGGCAACCCACTGCAGCAGGGGCTGCAGCCTACACCATCGCCAGCGACTCACGACAGCCCAGCTCCAGGTTGAGCTGTTGTTCAGCATCTTAGCTGTAGAGGGCAGTGTCACTGGCCCTCATGTGGGATCCAAACCGGGGCCCTCTGGCGTCCCAAGCCAGCTCTTAACCATCGCGCCACTCGGCTGGCCCTATTTATTATTGTTTTGAGCAACCAAGTTTTGGGGTAGGTAATTTGTTAGGTAGCAACAGATAACTAATACAGAACCTAAATGTAGGAAAACCCAAGGAAAGTCATTTATTTATTGCCTTTTGGTGAGAAGAGAGTTTTTTTTTTAAGTTAGGGGATATATAGATATATATATATATAGATAGAGCTATATATCCTCCCTCTATATAAAGTAGACTTTATATATATATATATATATATATATATATATATATAAAATAAACTTCCACATTCCTAATATCAGCCTGCCTGCAGGGGGGAATTGGTAAACATGAATAATTGGTGAAGCAATCTATTCATTGTCAAAAACAGACTGCCAAAGTAATGTGTCCACTCCCTTGCAATTCCCAACCCAGGCTTCCAGAATAGTGAGGCACTAGCCTCGGAGTTTTTTCTCACACTCCTTGATCCTGAGTCACTCTCATACTATATGGTTTATTACTTGACACAAAACCTCCAGAGATAAACAACACAGCTCTTTTGGCAACCCTTTACAGTACTACTTTTCCTGAAAGAAAGTAGTACACTCTGCATTTTCTTGGTTAAACAAAATGTGAATGAAGATCCAGGCATAAATTCTTTATCTCCTTGTGCATGGCTTGCATATGAATTATAGATTTAATTGTAACTACTATTACTTTTAATTCCTCTATCTAGTGTTAAAATCCATAATAAAGTAATTATTAGGTTGCTGATAACCAGAATTATCAGGTTGCTGAGTTTTAATAATTTTTAAAGGATTCGGCTCATATTGCCCCTGTGTGTGGTGTTGCATTTTTCTCTCTTAGAATGCTTTGTTTTAAAAGGAAAACTGCATAGATATTTAATTTTCAGGTACATGTAACTTAAAGAAATTCAGATCCTTTCTCTCATTCTAGATATTAATGTGGAAATTTAGGCTTCTTTTAGTGTACTGATACTTAAAGCCTTCTCCCCACATCCTCTTGATCTACATTCATTCTTTTATTAAATAACATCTGTTCTGTGCTAGACACTGAAATAGGCACTGGTACCATAAAGATGATTAGACACAATTCTGTAGCAAAAGCTTGGAAACAACTTAAACATCTATCAATAGGGTACTGGTTAAATAAATTATAGGACATTCATATAGTGCATTGAACAGTAGACTGTTACTCAGCTGCTAAAAAGAATGAGAAAGCTCAGTCTATACTGATACGGCACAATCTCCAGGGTCTATTATTGGGTTGTGGGGATAGAGGGCAAGATACAAAGAAATGTATATAGTATATGACCACTTGTGTAAGAAAAACCATACATACATATGTATGTATACTCATACATACATGTATACCCTATTGGACTAGACTAACTTTGGAAAAATTCAGAAGAAACTATAACCAGGGCTGACTTAGGAAAAAGTAATTAGATAACTGGAGTACAGGGATAGAGGAGGGAAACTTATTTTTTATTGTATACTTTTGCGAGCCTTCTGTATTTTGAATTATATTCATTAGTTTTCTATTCAAAAATAATAAATTGATTTTAAAAGAAAAACATAGTCCCACCCTGAAAAAATTTAGAGCACAGGAGAGACAGATATATAATAAGTATAATATAGAGTATGTTAGGCACTGTGATCAAATATGTACATGAAAGAGGTTGTTTTTCTCTAGGGCAGCAGTGGATGAAGGCACAGGGAGAGCCTCAGAGGAGGTTACTTGGGGAGTAGTAACAGGTTAAGGATTGGCCAGTTTCTCCCTGACACTCTGAGCGGGAGCAGCAACAACACAGGTATAGGTAGAAGGCATAACTATCTCCTGGAACCTGTTACACTAACATTTACTACTGTAGAACCCAACCCTAATTCTTTGTATAACTGCTAGCCCCATTTCACCAAAAGCTAAACTACAAACATTTCCCTCCTTCCCTTTTTTTTTTTTTGTAAGAGAAGGGATATGTATTTCCACAAATGATGATTCAGTAGCAATTGCATTAAATTTTTTTATTGGGCAAGATTTAGCAGTAAACCCAAACTCCGTATAGCTGATGTTGCTTAAAGTTGTATGTTAGCACACATTTACAATGATGTACCTTTTGTCTGAGTTCCCTCATACCAACAATCTTCCTCTAGGTGGCAGAGTTACTTCTTTGGAATGGAGCTGATCCATTATTTAGAAGTGACAATGGAAAGTGTGCTTTGGATGAGGCCAAAGATGCATGTATGAAGCGTCTTCTTGAGAGATACGTTCCTAAACATCAAAAACATCCTACTTCAGGTAAGATTAAACTACCCTGTTATATCTGTTCATCATGTCAGTAGAAAGTTACAGAAATTGAATTTAGAATTATAGAAATTAAATTTATTTTCCTCATAAATCGAGAAAATCCACCCAGTGGTCTCCTTGCTCCATTCCTGCACACCGACTTGTTTGCAAATGCACATATTTGAAGGACTCTAAAAGAACAAAGAAAGGTAATAGCAAATGTACCTTTCCCCAGGTTGTACATTGCAAACAGTTAGGAAAACTTTTATAAAGTTCTGCCCACTCCTCCCCCCACCATAATTTTTTGGCTGAATAACATGATGTGATATAATTTATATTTGGCTGTATCTTTTTCAATGACCATGGCCAATATTGTTTATTTCCATTCCTTTAGAATCTTTTCTTATGGTAATACTTCTGCCCGCTCATCCACAACATTGTTAATTGAACTATAAAAAAACTTGATCTGCAATTGTCAATAAAAATATTATATAAGAATAATTTAAATACATGGCATATTCTTTATGTTCTCCTTAATGCATCTGTTAGATTTTTTTGGTAAGAAAAATATTTTCCAGGAGTCAGTCTACCAAGCATGGTTCCTAAGAGAATGAGGAAGCAAGAAAGGAGCTTTTATTTCCTCTCAGTTTTAAGACTCTGTATATGCTAGTATCACCAATTTAATTAACAGCATTCCTCTGTTCGAAACCCTGCAGTGGCTCTCCATTTAATCTGGAATGGACTACCAGCCCCTGTATCAGCTGGCCACCCTGCCAGTGAACCTCTTCTTCTACCACTCTCATGTCTCTCTACTTCTGTCACTTGACTTCAGTCACACCAGCCTCCTTGCTGTTCCTCAGATATGCCTCCCCCACCTCCTTCAAGTCTTAGTTCAAATGTCATCTTCTCAGTGAGACCTACACCGCCCTATTTAATATTGCAAACTGCCTCCTTCCTACCTTCACTGTATTAATTATCTCTTACTATATTAAGAATTGTCCCAAAACTTAGTATCTTAAAATAGCAAACATCTCTCATAGTTTCTGAAGCTTAGAAATCTGGGAGCAGTTCAGTTGAGTGGTTCTGTATCTGGATAGCCTTTCACAGGTTACAGTCAAGCGATCAGGGTTGCAGTCATCTCAAGGCTCATTAGGGCAGGAAAATCCACTTTCAAGCTCACTCACGTGATTATTGTCAGGCCTCAGTTCCTTGCTAGTTGTCAGCTGGTGGCTTCAGTTACTTGCCACATGAGCTTGTCCATAGACATGGCAGATGGCTCAGAGCAAGTGATCCAAGGGAGAGAGAATGCACCCAAGACAAAAGCCACAGGCCTTTATAACCTAATCTTAGAACTTGTACAATCACTTCTGCCATATTCTGTTTGTTGAAGTGAGTCACTAAGTCTGACCCCCACTCAGGGGAGCAGAATTAAAATCCACCTCTAGAAAGGAAGAGCGTCAAAAATTTTATGAACATGTTTTTAAAACCACCGCACTCTAATCCCTCTTACCCTACTCTGTTTATCCTTTCCCATAGCACTTAACACCTTACACATAGGACAATTTGCTTGTTTTTTATTGGTCTTCCCCCACCAGAATCTAATCTCCATGAAGGAAATGCTTTGTCTAAGTAATGAATACTAACATGCTACTATGTACATAGAAGGCATTCAGTGAATATTTGTTGAATAAGCAGTGTGTCAGTCCTTTGAAAACAAAACAAACAAAACAAATTCTTTCCATTCAAGAGATGTATATGTACTTTATTCACTTCTATTAGAAACTACATTTTAATAAAAAATTTCCCAAGAGGTATTTGTTTGAATGCCATAGACTACAAACTAAGACCTGGTACAAAATACCCTACTTTTATAATAAATAACTTCATTGATAATTAAGGTCACCAAGAGGCAATTAATAAATAGTTCTGTAGAGCAAAGCCTTCTTTCTGGTAGTCCAGTCCCACTGGAAAATAAGAGAGACAGACTGAACCTTCTTAAGCAAACATATTAGGAAATGATGGTAATTCAATTAATTATGAAATAATTTTTTTGCATTATAAAAGTAGCTTTCATACAGTTAAATATCTGGGTATATCTGTGGGGAATATAAAAATACTTTCAGTGCCCATCTTTAGCATTATTTTTGGGGTCTGTTTTGCTTTTCCCACAGAAATGTTTTTAGGCCTTTCAGGATAGTATTTGGTTTCTAATAAATGTGGAAATTATAGGACTGTTATATGTTCCAATTTTAATAGAACATGTTTACATAATTTCACTTATTCTACTTGGTTTTCTCATGGCAAAGGACTTGTCTTAGAAGTCTAGAGTCTGACCACTGGTGGCTGTTTTCTTTGATTTTCTCTTTTTGTTTACAGTTCAGAAGAATAGCAGTGACCCATTAGACACAGAGGATGCACATCAGCACAAGGTATATCTCTGTTTAGCAATAAACATTTTAATAGCATTCACCTGCTGGTTATTTTATACATCACCAGAGGGGGAAGAAAGACTGCTGAAGCATGCATCAGGAACAGTGACTTCACCTTTGCTGTTAAGACACTGGAATAATTACATGAGAATCAGAGTGTTCTGGGCTGTTAGTTTGAGAGGCAACTGAGTAAATGTAGCATATCTGGGAACACATACATTGGTAGACATCCTATTTCTACCCCCTTCATGGAGCCATGAGCTTTATCAACCATGTCAAATTTCCCCCGGTCTTAACACAGTACAACAGTCAAAGATGTCGATCCATCCCTCCAAACTGTACATGGTGGGCGATTACTCTTCATTTGGTGCTTGGGTTGTGGTGGGTGAGAGGAAGCAGTGTCCCTGTTTTAATCTTAGCAGCCCACAGTAATCTTTCCATATAGACCAATTTGGGAGCATATCTGCCTTCTTGTTTTTAAATCCCTTCTTCTGCTGCCCTACCTATAGTCTCACAGATACCAAAGGAAGAAACTTCCTTAGTTCTAGCTCTATCTGTATAACAATTGGGAGAGGAGAGTGTTTCTAAAGCATTCTTTTTAAGTAAGGAAACTTTTATATGATTATTTCAAGAACCTTTAAAAATCAAGTAGATTAAAATTTTTTATTATATTTAGTAAGATTGATAGTGCTAAAATACTGGCAAAAAAATTTTTAAATGTACAGCAGAAAAGAAAGATTAGTCCACATACTGAGTGTGAGTCTCTTACATTTGCCTTCTGTTAGTCTACTTTTCTGAAATACCAGGTTGGATATATCACAGCGTGCATGTGGTTAGATCAAATTATAAAACTGAATAGAGTAATAGTTTGATTTATGAATAATCCAGAGTGAATCGAGTATAGAACTACAGCTGAAAATTAAAACCTAACTATATATTTTGTTTCTATAGAAACCAAAATTCAGTGCTAAAAATTGCGCTGAGTTTGTTTGTGATGAAAATTCCAACAGACAAAAGCCAGAACATGTAAAAGTTGATAAAAGAAGCAAAGAAGGTTTATTTATAAAGAAAGAAGATATATATGAACATTACCAAAAAGATTCCACAAACACGAAATTTGGTAAATTCAAGCGTAAGCAATCAACTCTTAACCAAATACGTTCTACAGGACTCAGAAAGGACAATCTCCGTAACGGCAAAAATCCCAGCACAAATGTGTCTAAATGTAAAGGAAGAAGAAATGTACAACAAGAAAGGACTCAAGTGGATAATGCAATCCGAGAAAGCTATCCACGAAAGACAGTAGCTGTCTCTTCTTCCAGAAGAATAAACAGATTGGTTACTGATCAGCAACATATTCTCCAAACTCTCGCCGACCTCCCACAAGAATCATGTGAACCTTTTAGCCCAGGTCTGTCAAGTCTGAAAAATGAATTAGATAACAGTGTTGAGGCTTGTTCAGGTCCCAAAAAGACATATACACAGAGCCCAGATTTATCAGATAATCAAGAAATAAAATTCTTGGAGTTAGAATCCGTTGACCAAGCTAAAGCTGTTTCTTTTTCAGGACCTTCTTTACATAAAGAAATCAAGTTACCAGTTGTTACCACAGATCAGCAGTTTCATACTCACCAGGAACAGCAGGACATTAACCCTTATAAATCTCATGAAAACAGTGACTCTAGTGAAAACACAGAGAGCCTTAATAAGTGGGAAAATTTTAATAATGATGATCATGGTGATTGCTGTACCTCTGAGAAGACTGTAACATCTAAAAAGGTGATAAGTTCTACAGGCTGCAAAATGTACTGTAATTATAAAGAGAACATAGCAAATAGAGAAGAAATGGATTTTCAACAGTTTTTACCGTCTGAAGACCATTTTTCACAGGAAGACAAGTCAAAATCGGGCAGCCTAAACATACTTCCACAACAGGAACCTGTTCATTTTTTAAATTCCGATAATACAGCAGCTTCTGAACCACATGTATCAAATTATGAACAATGCATATATGGAACTTCTTTCGATCACCCACCTGACAATCCTGAGCATATTTCCCTGGCTTGTACAAGAACACTTTCGACACATGAAGTTTCCGAGTTGACTAGTTATGTGGAGCAATTCAAAAGGCCTCAGGATTGTAGCCCCAGAGCACCAACTCCTTTAATGAATCAAACAGATACACATATTGTGGGAAAGGTGAAAGAAAAAGAAGGCACTAAAAAGAGTTACACTGACAAAGGCCAAAAACCAAGCTCTTCAAATAGGCCTTTATCCACAGTTGTTCATTGTCAAGTAATAGAAACAACTAAAGTTGAAAAAAGGAGACAATGCCTTCTGGAGAGTGAAATCATACATAATACAGATTTTTATTCTGACAATATGAATAAAGAATTGACCAACATCTCACAACTTAGTCAAAGAGAAGAGAAGGAAATTTCTCACCAACGAGGTATTAATAGTATTGCTTGCTTTGTACACATTTCCTATAGATTTACTTATTTTATAGAAATTTCCCACTGAATTTCACTGAACCTATGCCCAAACTGAGGACATGTGGGTCATAATTTGGGGATGCTGTTAATTAGTTAAGTAATCACGTTTACTTTGAAAGTCAAACCATTATCAAAAATGGTTGCTAAATTGATATTGACAAAGTTAATAAACAGCATTTCTATCAATTTTTTATGTTTATTTTTAGTATAGACTTTCTTAGTATCAGAAAACTAACAGGAAATTGTTTTTACATTTTTACAACAAGAAATTGTTAGCTCCATTGATTTCAACAATTCACTGTATTCCAGCAAACTAATTTACATTTGTTATATAAAAATATTTTTAAAGGCTTCCAGTTCCTTAAAACAAACAAACAAAAAAAACCCAGTCCAACTAGGAACAGAAACTTGGAACAGTTATATGATTAGAATCTTTGCTAGTCATCATGTAACCAGTAAGGAGAACTACCACACTGTAACTGCAAATGTTTTTTCTTTTCAGATGAGGAATTAACTAATAATATTAATAGAGATGATACCACTGTAAGAAATTGTGAGGAGGAAAAAGAAAAAACAGATTCAGAAATTCACATACCTACTAACATCCAAGAACACAAAGCTCATAATTTCAGGAAAAGACAAAATTTCTTGAAAGCTGCCTCCAGCAAAGGTTCGTATTCCTATACTTGTATAGGTGAAAGTGTGCATGATCAAGCCCAGCACTCCACTCTACTTAAGAGAATTTCTAAACTTTCATATTTACTGTTTATTTTTTTAGTCATTGACTAGTTTATAAGATTATTTCATCTATATTTTTCATATGGTTTTACTGTAAAGCACTACTTGAGAATATTAGTCTTCAGATATATTCTTATCATATTTCTGCCTGTGACTTCTAACTTGTTACATTAGAGGAGATAAGATAAACAGCAGAGGCAGCAAGAATATTGAGTGGGGGTAGCAGGGGTGAACTGTGTCAGATCTCTTAGGTACTTCCACTGAGTTTTTTTTGTTTTTGTTTTTGTTTTAAGATTTTATTGGGGAATTGGGGAAGGGGAACAGTGTTGGGGAATTGGGGAAGGGGAATAGCCAAGTTGTCCTTCATTCAGTCTTAGTTGTGGAGGGCGCAGCTAGCTCAGCTCCAAGTCCAGTCACCATCAGGCTGCCCATTGGCAGCTCATGGCTGCTCAGCTCAAGGTGCCATGTTCAATCTCTGTTGCTGGTGGGCATGGCCCACCATCCCATGCAGGAGTCGAACCGGAAACCTTGTTGTTAAGAGCACATGCTCTAACCAATGTGCCATCCAGTCATCCATTGGCAGCTCAGGGCAGCTCAGCTCGGACGCAGCTCACTGGCTCCTATGGGAATCAAATCGGCAACCCTGTTGCTCAGAGCTCGCACTCATAACCAACTGAGCCACTCGACCAGCCCCCACTGAGCTTTTTTAACATAAAGGAAATTAAAGAAGCAGAGCCATTAGTTCCTTTGTGTTGTATGAATGAACTGTGTGTGTTTGGCAGTATGGACAAGATAACTTGTCCTTTGATAGTTCTTGGGCCTAGTTCTGTGGTTAACAATGGGCTGGACCACTTCAAGTTAAATATTAAGGACCGAAAAGTTGGCTTGTCTACTGTCTAGTAAGAGATAGGAAAGAAACTGGATTAGGCATTCTCTGTGAACCTTCTCCCATTGTCCCCCTCTCTTGTAAACTGAAGACCTTCTTACATAACACCTCCTGTAGTGAGTTCAATAGTAGTCCCCCACAACATACTTCCATGTCCTAAGCCCTGGATCCTGTGATATTATCTTGTATAAAAGCATAACTATTACCTTGTTTAGAAAAGGAAACTTTGCAGATGTAAGTTAAGGATCTTGAGATGAGGAGAACATCCTGGATTGTTTGGATGAGCCCTGAATCTAATGACAAGTGTCCTTATAAAAGAAAAGCAGAGGGAGATTTGAGACACACAGGAGAAGAAAAGATGGCATGAAGATAGAGGCAGAGGAGCAATGTAGCCAAAAGCCAACGAAGCCAAGGAATGCTGATATCCATCAGAAATGGGAAGACTCAAGGAAGGGCTCTTCCTTCGAACTTCCAGAGGGAGTGCAGCTCTGCAGACACACTTCTCATCTCCAGGACTATGAGATAATACATTTCTGTTGTGTTTCTTTTTTTTTTTTTTTAAGATTTTATTGGGGACTCGGAAAAGGGGAACAGACAAGCTGCTCTCTCTCTGTTCTTCAGTCTAGCTGTGGGGGATGTTGCCCCACTGGCCCATGTTGGTATCATCATTGTGCTCTTCCCAGGTGAGGCAGACTGGTTGCCGGCCACTGGACTGGACAGCCGCTCGCAGTGGCTCTTTGCAGCTCACGCTGGCTACCGGCTGCTCACGCCGGCTGCCAGCCACTCACAGCAGCCCACTGCAGCCCATGCCGTTGCCAGCGACCCATGGCAGCCCAACTCCAGGTTGAACTGTTGTTCACCATCTTAGCTGGTGCAACATCACTGGCTCTCATGTGGGATCCGAACCGGGGCCCTGCTGCTCAGAGCTGGCGTCCCAAGCCAACTCACTCAACGTGCTACTTGGCCGGCTCTCATCTTTTCTTTTCTTTATTATTATTTTTTTTCTTAAGAGCACATGACTAAATAAGTAAACATTTGCTTGATTGAACTAATAAGTAAATTGAACTGACCAAGGGGAGAGAATTCCAAATACTGAAATCTGGTAATTACCTAACACAAAGGCTGTTTTACCTCTTGATCACCCAGGGGTGAATTTAATCATGCCCAGAGCTCTGCTGCGCTCCCCTCACCCTCCACAGATTTCCAGTCAGCATTTTTGTTTCTCTCATGATGGCCAAAAATGAACAGATAGCCAAAAATCAACAAGTATTTGTAAAGGCACAGAAAAGAAGAAACAACAATACAGAGAGCCCTTAGATGTTAAAAATATAATAGCAGAATATTAAAAATATGTAGATATCTATAGCAGGGTTGGAAGTTAAATCTTTCCGAGTCTTCTGTAAAGAATAAAAATAGAGGGCCGGCCGAGTGGCGTGTTGGTTAAGAGTTGGCTTGGAATGCCAGCTCTGAGCATCAGGGCACCGGTTCAGGTCCCACATGAGGGCCAGTGATACTGCACCCTCTACAGCTAAGATGGTGAACAATAGCTCGACCTGGAGCTGGGCTGCCGTGAGTCACCAGAGACGGCGTAGGCTGCAGCCCCTGCTGCAGTGGGCTCGCATAAGCTACCGTGAGTGGCTGGCAGCCAGCGTGAATGGCCAGCAGCCGGCATGAGCTGCTGTGAGCCACCATGAGTGGCTCCCTCACCCGGGAAGAGCGCAATGATAATACCAACATGGGTCAGTGAAGTGACATCCTCCACAACTAGACTGAAAAACAAAAGAACAGCAACTTGTCTGTTCCGATTCCCCAACGTGGTTCCCCTCCCCCAATTTCCCAATAAAATCCTTAAAAAAAATAGAAATAAAAATAAAATAAAAGAATAAACATAGAGAAACTAGGAAATAAGGAGAGAAAAGATAAGAAAATTAGAAGATCATTCCAGGATATCCAGAGAGAACAGTGAAAATAAAAAAAATCATTAAAGAAATAATACAAGAAATGAAGGGCAGAAGTTTCCATATTGAAAGGGCCCATGAAGTGTCCAGTACAATAAACAATACATCTCATGTGAAATTTCAGAACAAAGAAGATCCTAAGAACTTCTAGAGAGGAAGAAACAGTTCACATACAAAGGAACAGACAGCTGAGTATTTCTTAATAGCATTATATTTTCTTACTAAGTAAATAAATAAATAATACTTTATTAAATATAAAGTGTAATGCTATTAAGAAACACTCAGCTTTAACTACAGTGGCCTTTATAAAGAATTTTATAGTGTGAGTTCCATTTGTTTTCTTTCCAGTTTCTTCCATATTTTATTTTCAGTTAAATGCTGTAGAAATTTATGACAACAGTAATATTGAGCAGTTTTTGAGTTTTTGCCCCAAAATGTTTATTGCATGCCTACTTGCTTTGCTGCAAACACCAGGCACACAGTGAGATTTGTACCATCCACAGTAAAAATTACTGGGAGATATTTTTTCAATTCAAACTTGCAATCTGTAAGCCTACCATCTTCGACATTTTATCACTTTAAAATATATTCTATATATAATATGAAATGTATATATTCATATGTGTAATATGTTTTTATACTTCCAATATAGACTTTCTGAGTGCAAATTCTAAAGAGCAATATGTTTTTGTCTGGGTGTCAATGGGAGATAGGCATGAGGCTATCAGTCTTCCCTGTGATTCATATAACCAAAGGATCCATCTGTTATAGAGTAATCCTTTAATCTTTTTATGTCTTGCCCTGAAATTATATGCCTGGTTGCTAGCATTTAGGAAATTGGGCAGAGTAAGAGTCCAATGGCCGTGTTTCCTCAAACCTTGTCTTGTATCAGACTCACCTGGAAAGCCCATTAAAATACAGATTGCTGAATCAGGAATTCTTATTCAGTAGATGTATTAGTTATCTATTAGTGCATAACAAATTATCACAGACTTAATAGTTCCAAACAACACACCTTTATTGTAGTTTCTGTAGGTCAGGAATTAGGCATGGTTTAGCCAGGTCCTCTGCTCAGGATCTTTCACAGGCTACAATCAAGGCATTAGCCAGGACTGGGGGTCTCATCTGAAGGCTCAACTGGGGAAGGACCCACTTTCAAGCTCATGGGATTGTTGGCAGAATTCAGTTCCTTGAGGGTTGTGGCTATCCTGTGGTTATCCTTAGGTTCTTGCTGCCTGGGCTCTTTCATGGTAACCACGTGCTTCATCAAAACACGCAAATTGAAGGCAGTGGAGCAAGTCTACTAGCAAGACAGAAAAATGTTATGATCTTTTATAATCTAATCAAGGAAATGAAATACCCCCAATGTTGAGTTATTCTAGTGATGATAAAATTTCTCAAGAGGAGGGTATTATACAAGACTATAAATACCAGGAGGTAAGGATCATCAGGAGCCATCTTAAACTCTCCCGTCCAGAGTAGGCGTAGGATGGGCTGAAGAATTTGCATTTCGAACAAGTTTCCCAGGTGACATTGATACTGCTGATCTGGGACTCACTTTGGGAACTACTGGTTTAATGAATATTCTCTTTCTGTTTCATCAGCCTAATCCTCTACTTTGCCATGTGATGAAGTTTCTCTAATGCAGTTTCTACAGAAAATATATCTTGAGATTCCTGGCTTGGGGATGAGGACCTGGATTAAGAGGATGGTTACCAGGCAATTTGTGGTTGGGAAAGGCAACTTGGAGTCTTTTCTATATATTTATTTTCAGTCAATCTCCCTATTTCCAGCCCTACTTCACACATGCTTCCTTTCATGATACCTCATGCCCCCAAGTGCTGAGTGCCTGGGTTCAGATGAGCTCCTTTCCTCTGCAGAATCCTTTTGCAGGCACTTGGGTTGGAGCATTCCCCACTCTGCAAGTCAGTTAACTCTTCTCCATCAGTGACTTTCCAGTTCTCCAAAAGTTGTTGATGTCTTCATTCTCTAGTGTTTCTCTTCTATTTTCTTTATATGATATGTTTTAAAAAATCTTTTACTATTTTAGCATGGTTTGGGGAGGAGATGGGAAAAAAAAAACATGTGATCAGTTCACTTTTTTTAGCTTCAGCTTAAGCCTAACTTGTATTGCAAGGAAAAGATTTTTAAAAAAGAATCTTTAGATAATATATTGTACTTCATTTTTTATGAAAGAAAAATTTAAAAAAACAATAGGCCATGGTTTCATTCTTGGCATCTTATGTGATCAGAAACACACCACTGAGATAGAGAATAGCTGTAGAAAGAGGATTTTTTCTAAAATCACAATTTTTTTAAGAAAAAATTGATCCATTGCTAAAGGACTACTTTAGAGTGAAAAGGATATAGAACCAATGCAACTTGATTTGTTTTAATCAAACTTATGATAGAGTGACTGAACAATTGTTAGAATGAACTCAAAGTAATGTCCTTAGATGCCCTATAATTTCTTCACAAGTTATATTTTCAAACAGTAACAGTGATGGTAATATTAGTTGATGTATGTTTCTGTGTAATGCATTCTACTTAGGATATTTGGAGAAAGTTGGCATGTATTTTCTAAGCTCCTTTATAATAATCAGCATTTAGCAAAAAAGAAGCCTCAGTTTTGCTTGGCAAACTTACAGAAATGAAAACATCTGGGATCAATAAGAGGAATGCCAGAGGGAAAAGCCGGCTTCATTTGGCTGTCAGAAGAGGAAATTTGTTTTTGGTGAAAGCTCTAATAGATTCTGGAGCAGATGTGAATGTAAAAGATAATGCAGGTTTGGATTCTTTTAATTGTTCTTTATAATTTGAACTCACTAAAATACACATTTCACACATACTCCATTTTGAACCTGGATACTATATAACTAACTTGGAACAATCTTTTTTTTTTCCCCATAATATATTAATTGAATAGTCAGGTTTATGTTGGTTCCTGCCAACTGCTAAAATAAACTTCTTCTAAACAGTTTTTCACATGCATTTGGGAGCATTCAGTGGGAGTACACAGAATGGAGAGTAAAGGAAGCTTTATTTAGGCCTTTTCCCTCAAGGCCTTAATACCATTCGCTCACTTTGGAGAGAATACAAAATTTTTCCCATTTCTTGTCTGTTCTTCCCTTTCCTCCTCTTTTTCTACCATTTCTTTCTTCTTCCCACCGTTATTTTTATTTTAAACCTCCAGTTTTAAATTGATCTAACATTTTGCTCAGCACAAAAGAATCTTGTATAAGGAATTCCAGAGGGAAAAACTCAAAGATTAATTTAATCAAATATCATTTTAAAGAGAAATGTGACAGTGCAAAGATACAAGTAGGAAAGTCAGACATGGTCTTACTCTATTTTAATACCTGAGTTGAAACAAATTGACATTATTGATATTTACTCTGGTACCATTATATTTTATGTTCTGTGAGTCTTCTGTTTTGGCACTTGTGTCAACAAATATCTTTGATGAAATCAATTTGTTTTAAAAAATGAAACTTATACATTTTAAGATCGTAGTTTTCAATTTTATTTTTTGTCTAATACTTAGTATATATGTTTAAATCAATATAGATATTCAGTCCATTAGTGCAAATAAACTTAATGAATATATTACATGAATGTTGATTTGTAAGCAGCATCTTATTTTGCTTTTTCCTTTTTCCTTTTCTTAGGTTGGACACCACTACATAAGGCATGTAGTGAGGGATCTGATGATATAATTGTAGAGTTGTTAAAAGGTGGTGCTAAGGTTAATTGTGAAAATCTAGATGGAATGCTACCCTTACATGATGCTGTTGCAAACAATCATTTAAAGGTACAGTGCACATCAAATTTGATTATTACTTTTTCTTAGAAAAATCAGTGAAGAAAATGAAGATATTTTAAACTGAGAACTAAAGTGATTCCTTAAAACAAATGGTTTTTAAAAACTTCTTAAAATTACAAATGAAGATAATATATTGTATATGGATTGGAAAAATCATTGTATTTCCTAATGAATCATTTTCCATTGTCTCTTCATCACATAAGTCATGTAAGACAGAATAAAATTAAAGGGCTTAAGAGTAAACACAGGCTAGAAGTCTAGTACATTCCATTTAATTGTCTTAAATGATTTGCTGTTGTGTATAGAAGAGTAATTAAAGTGATGACACATATGACAGGAAGACTTTTTTTAACTCAGAATTTCTCAGTGGGTTTGAGGTTTCAAAGAAATGGATAAAAACACAAGTTGATTGTTTCCTGGGGGTTGGTTGTATATTTTTCTTCTTTGTTTCTCTTAATCAGGCAGTATGGTAAACATATCATAAGAGAAAATTACCAGCGGCACTATTTTAGTAATATTGAATTTCAAGTCTAGACTTTAAAATGCTTCAAATTTTTAAACTTTGACAAGCCTTAGGAGAAAGCTTTTATTGTTATCAGTGGACAGTAGAGATTTCAGAAATAATTATTGGCTTTAAAAAAAAATAGTTAAGGAAACCACCACCAACAACAATATAAAATCAGGGTTTGTGTAAAAAAAAAAAAAATCCTTGAATCTCTCACTAATACCTGTTTATCTGTTTCTATATATTTTCAAGAGTCTGGTGATTTTTATTTAATTTTGTGAAAGTATATACCCACTGTTTTTAGCCTAAATGTAGTCATGTGAAGGAATAGTATTATTGAATTTATAATTTGCAGAAATAAGAGATGTAAACTAGTGATTAAAAATAATACCAGATGGGTAGGCTAATATCCAAGATGGCTTCTTTTGACCAAAGAAGCTCTTTGGCCTTTAAAATATTTAAATTAAGAAAGAGTAGACAAAGTCTCAAGGTTATATGATCCTGAAATGGAAGAAAGCAAACAGGAAGAATCATTAAAATGATGAACTTTATGATTATTTGTACAGGGAAAGACTTAAAGTGAAACTACTTAAGGGCCAAAATTTTATAGTGGGAAAATCAGGTTTTTGGACAGTATGCTGAAAAATGCAATATAAAACAAAGAAAATACGGAGGTCCCCAACACTAGCCCTACATTTGGAAATTTTTAAAAGAACTTACAAATCTCAGCATATTGTTGTACTCATGGATAAAATTTATTACAGCAATGTAGTAAGGATATGCAGCCAGGTCATCAAAGAAAAAGACATAGGTGGAGTCTGGAGGTATCCAACATGAAGGCTGTATTAGGCTCTCTTTCTCATGAGAGGTCACACAGAGCTTACTCTTCCCCTAGCAAAGAAAATGTAGCAACATAAATGCAATGTTTCTGTGCAGGAAAGCCCATTACAAACTCAGCGTCCAAGATTTATATTGGGGGCTGAACATGTAGGCACCCTCTCTGTCTAGCACATAACCGAATTTCAGACTCCCAGAAGCATAGACCATATTGCTTGTGTAGACAGTTTAAGCACAGTGAATCCCCCTTATCAGTTAAGGAAAGCTTTATATCAGCATAGGATACTGTTTACCAGCCAAATGCGCAGATTCCAGCTAAAGGTTAACCTTGCAAACAGCCTTTCTGGATAGCGGCCACCTTAGGCCTGCTATGTTAACTCTTTTCTAAACAGTATCATATTTGGGTTCTAATTGAAACATATACTAATTTCTAGAACAGAAAAAGACTGAATAAAGTGTCTTTTCTTGGCCTAATTGTTCTGACAAAGTTGTATGGCAGCACATAGGACATCTTTTATCTCATGATTGATTTTTTTTGCACTATGACCTCAAGGAAGGTCTTTTTTCAGAAATTTTGAGAGGCATTACAAGTTTTCCCTAGGTCCTCTATTAATTCGAAAGCTATTCAAATCCTGTGGTTTTTCTTTTTTTAGGTTAACAGTTTTCCCTGTCAGTTTCTCATTTGTCAGTGGCTTCACTGGTACTTTAAGCATTTCTTCAACATTATACATCTGTGCATTATGCCTTTGCAATCAATCTGTAGTGTGTTTCCATTTTTTTTGTTGGCTGTTTACAACATCACTGACCAGTGGTAAACTGACCAACAATCAAGAGAAAGATTTTTATTTAATGGATGAAAAGGATGCCGTGTTAATGAGCAGGAAGGGTGTTTGGTTAGGTCAAAAATTTTAAGTGTTCTTCTTAAGAATTTTCCTATTTTGAAGACTCTAGCTTCCCCATAGCAATATGGTAACTTCAAGGGATGGAGAAAATGATTACTCAGATATAGAGGGGCCTCGGAAAAAAATAAACGCCAAGAGCTGAAAATTAACCACAGGAAATAGCAGAAGGGAAGCTTGGTTTAGTGGATAAAACACTAAGTTTGATATTGAAAAACTTGAATTCTAGACCTAGTTCTGCTGCTTGAAAAAGAGATAATATCTTTACCCCTGAAATAAGGAATTTGATATAGAGTTGTGCTGTCTTATACTGTAGCCACTAGCTACATGTGACTATTTAAAGGAACATGAAAACTGCATCAATGCACACCATAATCAAATTGCTGAAAACCAATGAGAAAGGGAAAACTCTTTGAAACAGTCAGAATTTTTTAAAAGATACATATGTATCCAGGAACAAATATAAGAATGACAACCAGTTTCTCACCAGAAACTCTGCAAGCCATCGGACAAAGCAGCAACAACTTCAAAAAATACTGCAGAAAAAAAAGAAAACTTGTCAACCTAGAATTCTATACTCAGCAAAGTCTTTCAAAAAGGTGATGTTGAGGGGCCGGCTGAGTGGCTCAGTTGGTTAAGAGCTCACTCAAGAGTTTGAGCTCTGAGCAACAGCGGTTCAAGTCCAGCCCAAGCTGAGCAGCCACTGAGCTGCCAATAGGTAGCAGGATGGCTCAGATTAAAAAAAAAAAAAAAAGGTGATGTTGGTGAATATGTGGAAAAATTGGAGCTCTCTTATATTGCTTATGGGAATGTAAAATGGTGCTGCTGCTGTGGAAAGCAGTTTGGCAGTTCTTTCAAAAAGTTACACATAGAGTTACTACTCTATATGACTTAGCAACTCCACTCCTAGGTATAGGAAGTCTGACAGTTACGTTCGCAAACTTGTTGCTAACCATTTTTGATATCAGAGGGATTATTCATTATGAATTTGTACCAGCTGGACAAACAGTTAACCAAGTTTACTATTTGGAAGTGCTGAAAAGGCGGCCTGAAAAAGTTAGACGACCTGAACTTTTTGCCAGCAGTTCATGGTTCTTGCATCACAACAATGCACCAGCTCACATGGCACTGTCTGTGAGGTAGTTTTTAGCCAGTAAACAAATAACTGTATTGCAGCACCCTCCCTACTCACCTGATCTGGCCCCCAGTGACTTCTTTCTTTACCCAAAGATAAAGGAAATATTGAAAGGAAGACATTTTGATGACATTCAGGACATCAAGAGTAATACAATGACAGCTCTGATGGCCATTCCAGAAAAAGAGTTCCAAACTTGTTTTGAAGGGTGGACTAGGCTCTGGCATTGGTGCATAGCTTCCCAAGGGGAGTATTTCGAAGGGGACCATAGGGATATTCAGCAGTGAGGTATGTAGCACTTTTTCTCGGATGAGTTCACAAGCTTAATTGTTAGACCTCGTACATAAAAAGCTGATAGAATTGAAAGGAGAAATGCACCAACCCACAATCAGAGTTGGAGATTACAATTCTTCTCTTAATAAATTATTTTAAAATACACACCCAGGATATAGAAAGTCATAAACAACGTTATCAACCAAGTTGATCTATTTGACACTTATTGAAGACTCTTAACAACAGTGACAGAATACACATTCTTTTCAAGTGCTCAAAGAACATTCACTAATACGACCCATATGCTGGGCCATAAAACAAATTTCAATGATTTTAAGAGATCTAGAATCATGCCAAGTATTTTCTGTAACCAAAATGGAATGAAATTAGTAAGTGAAAAACATCTGGAATATCTCCAAATGTTTAGAAATTAAACTACATACTTCTAAATAACCCATGGGTCACAGAAGAAATCACAAGGGAAATTAGAAAATATTTTGAACTGAATTAAAGTAACAATATATCAAAATTTGGGGATGCTAATAAAGAACAATTTAGATGGGAATTTTAAACCTTAAATGCTTGTTAGGAAAAAAGAAAGGTACAAGAGAATGATGTCAGGAAGATGACAGAATAGGAATCCCCACCCCCCGCCCACAGAATATTTGATTTTGGCAGTCACCTAGGGACCAGAGTACCTTTGTGGGAGTCTAAGAATCCAGTGGAGAAGTTCCAGTACACTATTGGAGAGGGAAAAAAAAAAATCTAAGAATAGCCACACTGGAGAGAGTAGGTGGAACAGTTTCACTTTGCCCATGTCATCCCTTCCCCCAAAGCAGCATGGCTCAGTGCCAGGAGAAACCTCTTTTCCCCCTCAGTGGTCTGTGATTTCTCTTGTGGGGGTCTTGTGGGGGAAAGTGAGAGTGTGTGAGTGAGTGTCTGACTTCCCCAGCTGAACAGGACGCTGCCCAAGAGGCCCACTTCTTTCTCCTCTCACTCAGGTTATTGAGGCAACCTGTAAGATTAAAGGGCTGGGAGAGGCTGGAAATACAGCAGCAAAGGCTTAGAATTCATCAGAGATGCTACTAACTGCTGCATTGTTCTTTCTACTAACTGATTTGCAGACTCCATCATGAAACCCACCTACAACACACTGGAGATGCCTTCCCTTCAGATCTCTCTGACTGACTCACTAACACCCCCAATGATCTACATACCTCACCCATATCCCACCCCCATACCCCCCATCCTCCGTGGTTGGGCTCCCAGTATGCATTCCTGTGGACAGCAAGGGTGAGCCTTTGCTCACAGCTAGTAAGCAAGCACAGAAAGCCAGTACAACTCTGCAGGATTTCCTGGGATCGCCTTAGAAAAACAAACAAGAGGCTGTCAATGCCTGGCCTGGTTTGGAGGAATCAGGGTTGTTCTTAAGATTCCCCACCCTACCACCACCACCACCCCCTCCAAGAAGGAATAAGAAATATGGATCAAGTGCATGTACAGGAAAGATCTGAGAAAGCCTCAGAATCCCTAGATGGACTGGCAGGTGAAGATATCTCTCCCCAAAGCTGGTTAGTACAGACTAGAGAGGTGACTGCTTCTTATAATATGAAGGTAGCAATGCAAGACTTCAAGGAACTCAGAAAATCCAGGAAACATGACTCCCAAGAAACACAATAATTTCACAGTAACCAACCCCAAAGAAATGGAGATCTATGAATTGCCTTACAAAGAATTTAAAATAATTGTTTTAAGGAAGCTCAGTAATCTACAAGAGAACACAGGCAACTCAATAAAATCAGGAAAATAATACATGAACAAAATGAGAGGTTCAACAGATAGAAATCATAAAAAAGAATCTTTCTGTCTATATAAAGATTTGTACTCAAGTATTCATAGCAGTTTTATTCATAATAGCTAAAAACTAGAAAAACTCAACGGTCTATTAAATGAGAAATGAATAAATTGTTAAAAGTAACAAACTTTTTTTCTTAGAAACATTTTTATTACAAGTATCCTTTGACACTTCTTTACACGCATTGCAGAATGTGTATAACTTCCATTCACTCAAACACACTGTTTTCAAACTAGGTAAGTAGCAAGTAGCCAGAACAAACTATTGATACTCACAATTACCTACATGAATCTCAAAATCATCATGCTAATTAAAAGAAGCCAGACACAACAGACTAACTACTATATGATTCCATTTATATGAAGTTCTCTAAAAGGCAGAAACTCTAGTGGTTGAAGCAGATCACTTGGCCCTGGGCCAAAGGGTAGTGGGCAAGGATCAACTGCAAAGGCATATTGGTTTTTTTGTGATGATGGAATGTTTCTAATTCAGATTGTGGTAGTAAAGTTAATTAAAAAACAGCAGGCCTATGTCTTGGTCACCTAACTTTTGCCAAGCTCTTTGTTCACTCAGGTCCACCCTATCATGTTACCTGGGACTGTCTCCCAACTTTAGGTAGTCTTTCCTGTTTAGT